CTTTAAAACTCAACAAGTTCCTCTTGGACTTGGAGGAGAACATTGCATTCTCTATGATAAGTATTGTTCCCTTAGGCAGAGTTATAGTAGCTCTTCCAGAGCCTTCAATTAATTTACTACTACCAGAAATTGTAGTAACATCTGCCTTACACATACTTAAATGAGAGAAATATTTCTTCTCTTTGAATATTGTATGTGTTGTACATGAATCAACTAAACAAATATTTGATCCAAGTTTGTTTTGTGAGGTATCCATATTTGCTTCCAATTGTTTGACATACAAAAGAAATATACGAATAATATTAGTATTTTCAGATATAAGGGAAAGAAATAAAGTTAAATTGTTGATTCAATAATGACTCTAATGCAATTTCGGGCAAACTCTCGTTATGATTCAAACCATTATGTAGCTAAAAATACAATCGTACTTTATTTACATTTATCACTTTCTTAAAAATTTCCATCATGCTAGTAATAGAAAAGTGGTATTTTCACTTTCAAAGTTAGCTCAAATTCAAATGAACAGTAAAAGAGCAAGACAATCAATGATTAACTTGGTGTAGTAATAAAGAAATGAATTTATATTCCATTCAAATCCTATAATCAGCAGTTGGGCACTAATAACGTGATAACGTAATTCACTTGCAAATATGCTCGCATTAATTTGACGTCATTCTCTAATTACGTGAAATCTTTCAAAGTTAATCCTTTTGTTTTCAATTCAAGTAACTGAATATTCTTTTCGCATCACAACCTTAATTTAGTAAAGAATATGTTAATCCTTGAGAGAGAGAAAAAACTAAGCAAACTGAAATATTGTTTAAAACGAATACTATAACTAATCCTATAAAATAAATAGTACTAATGACTACTACTCATGCAAAGAACTGTGATTACATGATGTTTATTAGCTACTACGAATATGTAAAAATAAAAATCAAACTACTCAATCACCTTTAACCATGGATCCATCACCGATCAAGTGGTCTATTTTTCCATCAGGGCGCTCAAAGAAGTCTGCCACATCCAAGTGGGTGATGTCAAAATCATTGTCAGAGACAAAATTGGCTTCAGGGCCTTTATTCTTTAGAGATGCTTGATAAAGCTCAACCAAATGTCTTGGTACACGACAAATATTTGCCCAATGCCCTTTTCCACCGCAACGATAGCATTCAGTTTCCGAACCATTTGCTTTTGGCTTCTCATCTTTCCCTTTCCACTTTTGGCGCTTATTCCTCTTTGGGGGATGATTAACACCAGAAAAATTTCTTCCTTGTCTACGGCTACGGCCACGGCTACGACCATGACCACGATCATGACAACGAATAGAGTCACGGCCTTTTCCACGCTTAGCATAATGGGAATACACCTCATCCATTTCAGGCAATGGTGTAGACCCAGTGGGTCGGTTTTCGTGATTTCTCATGAGCACGTGGTGTTGTGTGTGTTCTGGATTTCGTGTGTCCGTCCGTGTGAGTTCCGGCGAGTGGATAGTGAAGGCTGTGTGTGTCCAAACCAGAGTGAGGTCATGAGGGTCCGTGTGTGGTTGAAGAGAGCACACAGGGCCGTTGGTTGTGAGGATGACGAAGAAGATGGAGTCTGGGTGGTCGTCTGGTTTAGTTGAAGACGAAGCAATACGGTAGGGGAAGGGGGTCCCTTGGAGAAGATGAAGTCTTTTTGGTTTTTGCTTGCTGAAATTGCGGCGCTACTGTATCCTTTTTCCAGGCGTATTTTGTATGTGTATATGGTGTGTCTGTGGTGTAGATAGTATTATATAGGGTAGCCATTAGGTTAGGGGTATGGGCCTAGGTATTTTGGGCCAAAGACTAAAAATGGACTATAAGATTTATAAAAACGGGATAAACCAACCTAAAACTAATTCTTTCTTCTAAAATTATGTACAATTATAATATAAAATATAAACTAATTTTAATTAATTGAACTAAACTATAAAACATAAAACTATTTATTTTGTGTTTTCAAGATTATAAAAATAAAGATAGGGTACTATTTTGGTAATTTTTTTTTAAGATTAAAAATGACTATAAAATATTAATAAACCTATTTTTTGTAATTTTTTATTTTCTTGTAATAAAATAAAGTAAAATAGTAAAAATTAGTTGAAATGGCGATATTAGACCTAAACTAAATATTTACATGCTAAAATAGGTAAAATTTCGGGAAGGGTCAAAAATCACGTGTCAACAAACTAGGACAAAATATAGACTGTGACCTCAAAAGCCACTATGTGTACTTCACCTTGTCTACATTCTGTCAATATAATCATTTATCAAGCATGGACAACCGATTTTACGGTTCCTATTTAAGTTAAAGGTGAAGTTCAAGATTGCAAGTTTAGCCGCTTTATTTATGATTCTAAAGTTTGTTTGTCAAAGTCCAATTTTTCAAATAGGTACGTCTGAAGTTGCAATTATCTGAAATTAGATGGGGTATGCTTACAAATTTAAAAGTTAGTATCTTAAAACTCTCTTAAACTATTCAAGTTTTGTGAGTTTCCTACTTAAATTATCCAGTATCCTCAAAATTCCTCTGAATTATATTTCATTCATATCCTCTCGTTCGATATTTGAAATGCGTCTACTACACGCTCTCAGTTAATGAAACAGAATGTCACGTGGCATGATACATGATATTTTAACTCAGGCTAATCTAATACTAATCTTAATTATGTATTTTAACAAATAATCACATTTAATGTATAAGTTAAGGGGTTATAACATCCCAAAAGGGGGGAAGGGGTACTCGGCCGATTATTTGTAAAAAATTCTTTCTCTCGATCCATCTCCTCCGATAATGGCTACAACTTGTCTGCAATAAACTTCGAATTAACCTTTCTTTTTTTCTCTTTAATCTATGACTTGATAGTGGATTTTGATTTGGTATGATGTTTGGGATAAAAAAAGAATAAGGTTTGATAAAAATTCTACGGCTCACTGCGTTTGGGCTAACAGAAGATTGTTAAAAGGGAAGAACTAATATTTTCTACTTATATAGAAGAGCGCAGAAGCTGCTCTTCGTCGACATCCCTGCTTAGACACAGGGGTATTTAAGTATTTTCACATACCTTCTGTGTTCCCTGCGCCGGGCTATGAGATACTTGTCGATGTTTTCCACGAAATTTCATCGGATTTTACTCTCACCATCTCTCCTCCTCTGTATCTTCATCCCTGCTTAGACACAGGGGTATTTAAGTATTTTCACATACGTTCTGTGTTCCCTGCGCTTACAGGTGTGCTGAATTTTGGTGAGTAAGCGGGCTATGAGATACTTGTCGATGTTTTCCACGAAATTTCATCGGATTTTACTCTCACCATCTCTCCTCCTCTGTATCTTCTATGGAATTTTAGAAGCTGCTCTCCGTCGACATCCCTGCTTAGACACAGGGGTATTTAAGTATTTTCATATACCTTTTGTGTTCCCTGCGCTTACACGTGTGCTGAATTTTGGTGAGTAAGCGGGCTATGAGATACTTGTTTATGTTTTTCACGAAATTTCATCGGATTTTACTCTCACCATCTCTCCTCTTCTGTATCTTCTATGGAATTTTCTCCGTAAGCCTTTGCTGGATTTCTCAGTAACAACACGACAACATTTAGCCTTTGCTGGATTTCTCAGTAACAACACGAAAACTTCTCCGCCTTTCTTCTTTATTCGCTGGTATTTAATTAAAATTGGTAGGTGTTTAAATATGGATTTCTGTTTTCACAGTTTATTTCTTTCTTCTTCTTTTTTTGGGTACCATCTCATTAGGTTTTTTCTTTTGAGAAATACCCATCTCACAGATTGAAACACTTCTGAAAACTTCGATTTTCTATCTCTGTCAGTGTAATTTCCTTACCAAAGAACTCAGCTTTTCTGATCTTTAATAATAACTTATTTTGCATATCCATAAGTGCAATTTCTTGATCTTTTTGGCTGATTGTGCTATTGCTTTCGATGTTTTTGAATTCGAATTCTATTGAAAAATTCTAAGTTTTGTAGGGCAAAGAACTGAAATGGAATATCAATATTTTGTTTGTGGATTTTTTAATAGGTTGTATCATTGTGAAGAAATGGTGTTTATAACAAGAAAAAACTACCTGTAGCTTAAGCACCAAAGTTAACTCCTTCTCACTGTAAGACCTTCTTTGCCGCCTCATTTGTATTCTTTATGATTATTTTTGGTTGAATATTGTATTTTGCTCTGTTAATCAAAATTTGATTTTCTTAATGGATATTATGCGTAGTAGGGTTGGGTTCATGTTGATTTTTGTTTTACCTAAACCTGTGCTGCTGCAGTTGTTTACCCTCTTTGTCCTTTAAGAGTTTGATAAAATTCCTCTTTCATCTTTATTGTGTTTTTCTCTGTTCAAAGTTCAACTACACTTAAATTCTGTGCTAATGCCCTTATGATAACGCCGAAGCAGCTACTTGAGATTGTATCTAAATGTCTTTAACACACTGCATAAGTGAAAATAATATACAAGCTTAAATTATGGAACCAATTGCAATAGAAACAAATAAAGACGTGAACACACGCACGCACGCAAAAGAAGAAAAATAGAAAATGACTCCTTCTGATAAAGGAAATCACACAATGAGTGAATTATATACATTTTGGGCCTAATTGCTGATTTTGGGCCAAAATCCCAAATCCCAAACCCCAAGTCCCAAAATCACCCTAATTGCTGATTTTGGGCCAAAATCCCAAAACTTGGGAATTATATACATGTTTTTCCAAAATAAAGTTGGAAAATATGTTTTGAAAACGTATATCCAAACACTTTTTCATTTTCAAACCAAACTTCACCAAAATCAGATTTTTCAAAATAAATTTGGGATCTATGGCCAAACGCTAGCTAGATAGTTTAAACAGGATCGACAATAATTAGACAGCTTAGGAGGTTCTAGCCTCTAGGGTATTAATTCAACAGTAAAAGGTTTTATTTTTATTTTTTTCCCCGTTAAATGCTAAAATCTAAAAGGGGAGATTTGAAAATTGACATGGTAGACAATATCATCTGTTGTATTGACCTAGGTTTGGAGAGATGCAGATTGGCTCGCCATAGTCTTCTTTATTCCACGCAACCATGTAGTTTACAATTAGAGGGACAGCGAGCGTGCTTTTATAGAGTAGAATTGAATGAACACGGAAGACGTGGACATGTTTGGAGCAAGAGAAAGTTCCAAAGTTCTTGGCCTCCAAAGTTCCAAGTATTCCTCCAATTACATTACTCGTCTTACTTCAGCATCATCACCATTACTTAAGACTAGGTCAGGGTTCGTAGTAACAAAAAAAAAATGCTGAAGAAATCACAAATGGAAAGAGTAGAAGGAGAAAGATGGTGCGAGGAGTTCTCAGCTGGGTATTACGGACTCTGTACCGCTGGAGGAATGCTCAGCGCTGGCGTTACTCATCTCGCCGTTACCCCTCTCGATGTCTTGAAGGTTAACATGCAGGTTCGACTTTTCTTCTATTTCTCACCTGCTTCATTCTTTTTCTCTTACTTTATAAAGTAAATAGGCGTATTCCCATTTGTGTCAGAGGCCCAACCGTTACAAAAACCTTATATTCCTCCCCTCATTTACCAGCCACATAGAAGCCCTTAAAATTTCCTTTTTTCCTTGTTCCTTTTGCCTATGTAGAACTTAATTATTCCTTGAGCCTTAGACCATCTTGCTTAAGACTTAAGTGCATAATATTTGTTTTCAGTCAGGATGTCTTGTGAAAACAACTGAGCCCCTGAAAGTACTTTGAACCTCACTTACAATAAATGGCTGTTAGTGATTTCCTCATTTGATTGAAACCACTACAAAGTGCTAAGCCAGTGGACAGTAGGTGCATGCGCCATTCTGGTGTCTGATAATTGTACATCGAGAAGCTTTCCTTGTCCACAGAGGTTGAATAGTTGCCATCTAATTTCAAAACTACAACCGCTCTGTGGATCTTGTTCAATAGGTTCATCTTCTGAAAGTTAATACACCCAAAAAAAAAAAAAGAAAATAAAAGAAGACTCTTTCTAACTTATTACATAACCTGGTAAAGAACAACAACAACAACAACAAGCTCAGTATTTTCCCACAAGTGGGAATACCCACAAGTGGGGTCCGGGGAGGGTGAGATGTACGCAGCCTTACTCCTACCCTTGAAGGACAGAGAGTTTGTTTCCGATAGATCCTCGGCTGGAGAACGGATGACAATAGTAATGGCAACAAGAAGGAATAACAACGAGATAAAAATACTGAAGCCAAGAAAGCAGTTAAACTCTAGGTAATAATAGCAATCTATGAATAAAAGGATATCATACTAACACTAATACTAGCGAACTAGGAAAGACAAGAGATACGCTCGACTACCTACTAGCCTTCTACCCTAATACTCGGTCTCCACACCCTCTTATCTAGGGCCATGTCCTCAGTCAACTCCAGCTGCGTCATGTCCCGCCTAATAACCTCGCCCCAAGACTTCTTAGGCCAACCTCTACCTCCTGATACCCACTGAGGCTAACCTCTCCTGAAAGGAATAAAACTTTTGAAGTTGGGATTAAAGAGAACTTTTTAAGGGGTATCAAATTACCTATTTTGCAAACACTCACTAATAAATCGCTCCTACATGTTTAGAAACAAACTCCAACCATAAGATTCTTTCTAGTGTCGTGCTTTTGTTCTTCTGTCTAATGTTTTTATGTTTACTTTGTTTTCCATATCTGCTCTAATAACTAGAATCTCCTGGTTGGATATGTGCCTGTAGTTAGTCTGTTCATATGATCCTTGTCTTAATTTCCAGCTGAAGGACCTCATGAGTTCTTTAATAATTTTTGCACTAGAAGGCACCCCTTTATCTTTTCGAAAATCTGAAAAACTCCTTGTGGCATTCCTCATGACCGACAAACTAAAATTAAAGGGAGAAAGAAAAGAAGTAACTTTCCCAATCTGGTATGTGCTGATAATATCTTTATTTGCGTTAGGTGGACCCTCTCAAATATCGAGGCATTTCATCAGGTTTTATAACTCTATGGAGAGAGCAAGGCCATTCTGCTCTTTGGAGAGGTTGGTCAGGGAAACTATTTGGATATGGAGTTCAAGGAGGATGTAAATTTGGTCTTTATGAATACTTTAAAAGGTTCTATACTGACTTGTTGGTTGATCAACAAAGGAGTGTTATATTCTTCCTCAGCAGTGCATCAGCTCAAGTATTTGCTGATGTGGCACTCTGTCCCTTTGAAGCTGTCAAAGTTCAGGTCCAGACTCAGCCTCATTTTGCCAGGGGATTAACTGATGGGTTTCGCAAGCTGTACGTGAATGAAGGCTTTTCAGGGTAAAGTCCTAGAAGTATGCATTCTTTATTCTATTTTTGTCCACCTTGCATATTGATGCTGAAGTTTGTTTTTGCTTCACTGTAGCTTTTTCAAGGGACTCTTTCCACTTTGGGGGCGTAATCTTCCATGTAAAATCTTTACTTAATTTAGCTTTTTCTATTAGCCCTCCCATCTCCCCAATAGTTTCCTTCATATTGTGATTTAGAATTGTTTTGGGACTTCCCTGGTAATGTTTATTCATATCGGTGTCCCTTGGGTGGGGATGGAATGGAGTAATTTGGTGTGGATTTTGTGTATCCTGTAGATTTGTCTTGCTCTTCAATTTTTCTGTTCTTTACTATTGAAAAGTGGCATTTTGCATTTTGTGGCTGCTGCATAGGATCTTTTTTGTTGCTTCAGTTCTTCATTTACTGTCTGGCTTTTTTTTTTATTGTCGGCTACTTACAAGTCTGCACTTGGTACTCTATTTACTGGCTACTTCACAATTTCTAGAAAATGCTTATTAATCATATTTGCCTTGGAAATCTTGCTGCATATAGATGCCCTTTACAATACGATTATCACATTACCAGCTGTAGTTACCAATATTTGACTTTCTGCTTTTGGAGTTTGTAATTATGACTTTACTTTATGCTTCCTCTTCTGTTTGCAGTTTCCATGATCATGTTTTCGACATTTGAGCACTCAGTAGATCTGATGTACCGGAAGGTCATACAGAGAAGGAAGGAAGATTGCTCAAGAGCCCAGCAACTTGGCGTAACATGCTTATCAGGCTATGTTGCTGGATCTGTTGGCACTGTAATATCTAATCCTGCTGACAATATTGTCTCATTTCTTTACAACAAAAAGGCTGACACAATAAGACAAGTAAAACTTCTATCAAACACTCTCATGGTATTCAAGTATATTTGAAAAAATCTAATTAGTTGGAAATCTTTTTATATGATGCTTTCAGGCCATAAAGAAGATTGGGCTTGTTAATTTGTTTACGAGAAGTCTTCCTGTTCGAATTACAATTGTGGGGCCTGTTGTGACTCTGCAATGGTTTCTCTATGACACAATTAAAGTGTTTACTGGACTGTAAGTATATCATTCTCTTTCTATGTACTTGTTCTTATATAATTTTCTTTCCAAATGCTCGATTATTATTTGCGAACTTACTTGTCCATTTGTCAAGTAACGGTGATGAGACATTAGCTATTCAAATACTATGGCCAGAACTGGGGAAGGAAGCTTTTCCTTCGTTATTATCGTTATTACTCCTATCACATGCTTTGTACTTTTGGACTTGGAAAAGTCATAAAGAAACTATGATGTGAAGATTCGTAATAGCTCCGGATGTTATTGCTGAACATTTTTGTCAAGCATCAGAGATGCTTAAAATTTTTAAAACATGAAATCAACTGTATAAACTTTGGTATAAGAGTTTCTTGATGTGACAATTAATAACGTTGTGCAGAGAAATTTCATGAATAAAATAGATAAGTAGGCAATCCAGCATAAAATTGTTGAGGCTATGTTTAGAATTAGTACTGGATGCTTGGTGCCTATAAAACACGTTTGATTCTCTGTTATGCTAAAATTTGTATTGTGTCTAACCTGTAGGCCGACAAGTGGGGGGCTTATTCGACATCAGAAGGATCCCAACTTACTCTTACAATAAACAATGGCTCCCTTAAGTCTGGTTTTGAGAAAAAACATCAATTTCAGTCATTCTGAACTGTGCCATGAGTTACCTTCCTCGGCGTGTTCAGCACTCTCAGTTTGTTCTTGTTTGATGAACTACTCTGCAGTTCATCTTCATGAAACTCATTTCCATTCCTCAGGCAATCCGATCCACGTTTGGTTGCGACTTGTGAATGAAGCAAGCTTATAAGAGAAAATAGAAAAGGATGACTCTGTAACTGTCACATCTTGTATATAAGATACAAATATGTCTCAAATTTCATTTCATCTCCTTCTCAAGGAGAGCTAAAGAGTATTTGAAGCTGTATTACGAAATAAAATTACTTAGTGGTAGTGTGAAAATTGATGCTCTGTTTGTTCGGAAGATAGATAGTATTTGCATAGACTGTGATCTGGGAATATTTACTTGGATTCAGAAAAGTCTCCTCCCCCCTCACCCCGAAACCCACACTTAAAAAAAAAAAAAAGAAAAGAAAGAAGAGAATTGCTTTGAAAATTTTTCACTAGGGATCCCACTTGCCATGCTGTCTCTTTTTTACGACTAGCTGCTGACAAACCAATGAGAAAAGTGGACATGGAATGTCTCCTGTTTATCTTGTTGGCTTGTGGTAATCTATTATATTTTTGTCGGGTTGTGATGGATCTAAATGTAAGGCCATTTTTGGAGGAAGAAATTTGCAAGTTGAATAGTCAGACGTTAGAGCTGGTAGTGGTATCCCACCCAATTGTTAAGAACGCGCTCTCTCTAGAGTCTAGTCCCACACAAAGTTACAATATCCATAAAGTATGCTTTATCTTGATGGAGCTGTTCAAACACTTTTGCAATTACTAATACAAATGTTATCTGTAATGGTATTATCGTCATGATTAATTTTATATAATCTTCTCATATATTTTTTTCTACATATTTTATAACTCAATAGTTATTTAATACTAATAAATTACTCTCTCCGTTCACTTTTATTTATCAAGTATTCTAATTATTTTCCTGTTTTGCCTTAGCATTAGTTATTCATTTCAAATTATTTTTCAAATCCGTTAAGATTACATACCAATTAATATGGTAAATTATGCATTTTATTTATTAAAGCATTTTGTGATAGTTTATAAGGAAAGGGCAAAAATGTGTGAATCAACAAAGTGAGAGATGATAGTGCAGAGTTCCAAATTCACGAAGTCATTCCTGCTCTGCGTTTTTATTTTCCACTATTTACGGCTCAGCTTGCTTTAAATTAAATTAAAAAGAAATAGGAGCCGAAGTTTTTTGCCAAGGGAGTAATAGTAAGTAATAAAAAGACACTCTATTACGAGTAGATTTTGTTTTTCCTAAATAAAATAGAAAATAGTAGGAGAGTAGATCGGTACAATGTTGAGGAGTTGACCTCCGTATATCATCTTCTTCTTGGTCATCAGCAGTAGCGATAGAATTGACCGTCTTCCTCCACCTGCTATTTGTGTTAGATCTATCAATCATTGTTTTATAAGTTTTAAAGGAAACAAGGAGGATTGGATGAGGAAAGCTTTGTTGAGCTGAGGGCTGGGGATTGTGATTGTTTGATGGGCAATACATGCCGTGGATCTTTCGGAGGCAAAACTTTTGGTCAGCCCCCCCAAGAACATTCAAAGCGCACCAATCCGGATTCTGATTCTCCCACTCCCACCCCCACCCCCAAAAAACAACAACAACAACCACCTCCTAATAATTTACCTCTCAGGAAAGAGATGAATCGCACCGCCGCCAACCAGTCCTATTACGTGCTGGGTCATAAGACCCCTAACATTCGCGATCTCTATACCCTGGGTCGTAAACTAGGACAAGGCCAGTTTGGCACCACTTACTTATGCACCGAACTGTCATCGGGGATCGAGTACGCCTGCAAATCTATTGCCAAGAGAAAACTCATCTCCAAGGAGGACGTTGAAGATGTGAGGAGGGAAATTCAAATAATGCACCATTTGGCAGGTCACAAGAACATCGTTTCCATCAAGGGTGCTTATGAGGATCCTTTGTATGTTCATATTGTCATGGAGCTTTGTAGTGGCGGTGAATTGTTTGACCGCATCATTCAAAGAGGTCACTACACCGAGAAAAATGCTGCAGAATTGACTAAAATCATTGTAGGTGTTGTGGAGGCTTGCCATTCCCTTGGAGTTATGCATAGAGATCTCAAACCTGAGAATTTCTTGTTGGTTAACAAGGATGATGATTTCTCTCTCAAGGCCATTGACTTTGGACTCTCTGTCTTCTTTAAGCCAGGTCAATCTCCACATCTTAGCTACCTTCTTCTCTTCCAATAGTTACTTGCCTTTTGACATTCATTTGGTGCCACAGGAGTATATCTTTTTATATTGTAATGTTGGTTTGACGAGTTTTGTTGGTTGCTCCTCCAGGCCAGATTTTCACGGATGTGGTCGGGAGTCCATATTATGTTGCTCCTGAGGTGCTTTTGAAGCATTATGGTCCTGAAGCAGATGTTTGGACAGCAGGGGTCATACTCTACATCCTGCTTAGTGGTGTTCCACCATTTTGGGCCGGTATGCATGTTACAACCCTATACAGCATAGCTGTCAATTTTCTGTTTTTTGTCTTTGTACACTTACCATCTTAATTCTTCAGAAACACAACAGGGGATATTTGATGCAGTTCTGAAAGGGCACATTGATTTTGAGTCGGACCCTTGGCCCTTAATATCTGAGAGTGCAAAAGATCTCATCCGGAAGATGTTATGCATGCAGCCTTCAGAGCGGTTAACTGCTCATGAAGTATTATGTATGTTCACCTTATATCTAAGGAGTCATTCATGTAACCAACTGCTGATCTCGTATTATGGTTTTCTCTGCAGGTCATCCTTGGATTTGTGAAAATGGCGTTGCTCCTGATAGAGCACTTGATCCTGCAGTACTTTCTCGCCTTAAACATTTTTCTGCAATGAACAAGTTAAAAAAGATGGCTTTGCGGGTATGCACACAAATCTGGTCATAATTCTGTTCATTATGGTTCTTTAGTGTCCGATCAACCTCATTGTAGAAGTTACGCCAGAAACTTTTGATTCTTTCCTCTAGGAGGCATGTACCTGAATAATGCAATGTATTAAAGTTTTCATACTTATTCTGCTTTCAGGTGATCGCTGAAAGCTTGTCGGAGGAGGAGATTGCCGGTCTAAAGGAGATGTTTAAGGCCATGGATACTGATAACAGTGGTGCAATTACATTTGATGAACTAAAAGCTGGTTTGAGAAAATATGGCTCTACTCTAAAGGATATAGAGATACGGGAACTTATGGATGCGGTAAGGAAACTTTTACTGCAAACTAATTATATTTGTTTTGTGCATCTTTGCCCAATTGATGATGTGACTGTACCCAAAGGTGGGCAGAAGCATAAAAATGTACAATGACACAAGATCATGAACTGGTGGGTAAAATCTGTTTGTTCATCAATGTGCAAAGACTAGATTCAGATTGGGATCTTTACTTTGTTTAATTAATTACGAACATTCATGGAGGAGCACAACCACCTTACTGTTAATGGTTCAGGTCTTGTCTTTAATTAGGCCCATGATTATCTCTGTACTGGCTCTCTAAACATGTTTGTCTATGAGGTTCATACAGAAGTGCTTATCTAACTCCTTAATGCCATCGGCTATAATATTACTGCTTTCAGGCTGATGTGGACAACAGTGGAACTATAGACTATGGAGAATTCATAGCAGCAACTATTCACCTTAACAAATTGGACCGCGAAGAACATCTCATGGCAGCATTTCAGTATTTTGACAAGGATGCAAGTGGTTATATTACAGTTGATGAGCTCCAGCAAGCGTGTGCAGATCATAACATTACAGATGTCTTCTTTGAGGATATTATCAGAGAAGTTGATCAGGATAATGTAAGTCAATTATTGTTGAAGATAAAGTTGGAGCAGTTCAGGAACTTATCAATAAAAAAGTGGACGCATATTAGGAGATAACGATTATGTTTCAAGATACTAAATTTGACTAAAGTTCTTTATAGCTTGCAGCTGTGCTGATTTATTTATAATTGCTCAGATGCACTGAGATGTTTTGGAAATTGTTGTTGAAGAATACTCCGTTTTTCTGTTTGGTCTGACTGCACTTAGGCCAGCTACTCACTTTTTGGTGTCACTTCATAGTCCAAATAGGTCTGTGTATTTAAAGGCATGATAAGAAGACAAAGGAGAGATAATTGTCAAAAAGAGGGGGAAAAGCAAGACAAAGCAATGATAGCATAATAAAAATGAAAAAGTGTTGTTAGAACTTAGAGACTTTTCTGGCTTTCTTCAAATCAAATAAATCTTTGTTATACTTTGATCAGTCTTCCGAAACCTTAGCATAGGGCAGATGCAGGCAAATTACGCTTTAAGAAATCTGTGTTTTAAATGGATGAAATGATTCCTTTTGCATCTATGTTTCTTGCTATTTTAACTATTTATTTGGTTTCCCATTGGACTTCCCTTTTTGGCATCTATATTTCTTGCTATTTTAACTATTTATTTGGTTTCCCGGTGGATTTCCTTTTCAGGATGGGCGCATTGATTACGGAGAATTTGTTGCTATGATGCAAAAAGGAAATCCATGTATTGGAAGACGAACAATGCGAAATAGTCTGAATTTTAGCATGAGAGATGCGCCTGGAGCTCATTAGCTTTTTGAATGGACACTTCAGTTAGGTATTTTCCTTTTTCTTTCTGAAGTAACCTTTGCTTGACAATAAAAATCTTTCCTTGTTCTATCCTTCTTAAGAAATTGAATTGGCAAAGATAATTTTATAAATAAAACAGCACTAAGTGTGTGTCCTGTAAAACTGTACCGGTGTAGCAAAAAATTACACTCAGCAAAAGTATATCCCATCTAATCCTGTACGGACTGTAACATGTCTCGAGTGGATTCAGCTTCCTCTACATGCTCCATTTACACCAAAAATTTCAGATTCAGAGTTCTTTTGCATTCTCATCTTTTTTGTACTAGTTTCTTCCCTTTTGGCAAAAGTTTTATGTACCACATTGATGGTTGTCCTACATGGCTATGCAAGAAACATGCCTAAGTGAGCACATTCCGACAAATTCAATGTTTAGAAGTTTCATAATATTATGACTATCTTTATGCTAGCCATCAGTAGAACCAACCTTCTTTTATCCAGGTATGGGACAAACAATGCGAAGCTCACATAGACTAGGTTAGGTAAAAAATCTCTGTTGGACAAACAATGTTTGGAAGTTTCATAATCTGTTTTCTACTGAACATGAAGTTGTGGAAGTTAGTTGATAATCTGAATGATATTATTAACTGTACAAGTGTCAAAGACACTTCAGAGTGTCATTTGAGAATATGCACACAAGGGTGTGATCTAGTGATGAATGAAGTTGGAACAAAAATCATAAGAGACTTCGCATCTTGTGGAGGCAAAGAAATTGGGTGATTTTTTTTCCATCTATCTAAGTTTCAATGGATAAAATTACCAGATTCATGTACTTTTGAAGAGGATACAGGCACCCGGTAGAATAGTCGAGGTCATGCAAGTTGGGTTCAAGACCACCTTCATATTAGAAGAAGTATCATTTCAGAATAATTTGTATGATGTGTCATTTGAGAATATCCTGGAATCGGGATGGTTATTAACAGTTGTAGAACTAATTGTATTTTCTAACCATTAATTGACTCTATAAAAAGAATATCGAGTTAGACTTAGTTGAAATTTAGGTAGAATATTTGTGAACGGTAAACTAACTAAAGTTATATTTATTAACCCAGTATGAAGCCACCTATGCCTTAGTCCCAACTGGTTGAGGTTGGCTATTAAATTAAACCTCTATATCAGGGGAATTATCCATGTAGCTATATTCAGTCCATTTAATTCTGATACTGATTAATTTGCCTTTTAAGGCGAATTAGGTGTTCTGTAAAATTAGAGTTCCTCTGTGTTCCACACTTATTCCTACATGAATATAAAAGTCTAGCACTGAACCTAATATCAGGGTAATGAGTAATAACAACAATTAACCCTCCGATTCCAACTATTTGGTTTCGCCTGCATGGATCATCTTCTCCATGTGATTCTAGGTGTAGGTTGTCGCTTATTTCATTTATGAAATAAAGCCATTTTGTTTTTCTTCCTTCACCAACATGTATTGGGCGTCAAGGTTGTATTATGTTCTCGTGTAAATTGCAGTCTTAGCCATATTATCATAGTTGAGTTACTTGATTCATAGTACACAATTTTAATATTCGGATGTCCTGTAGTTACACATGTGCCTGGGTACTTGTTGGTGTACTAACTATGTCTATACCTGTCCTTCAGTTACACAAGTGCTTGTGTACTTGTTGGTGTGCTATACCTTTTTATTTTGATTTTTTATTCTCACTGTTTCTGCCGGAATGCTGTTATGGCTTTCTAGGCCAGGAACAGGTGCATCTCTTGGTCATGTTAAATTGTAAAAGGTATTCTGACATTGATACTGACTGGTTTGCAGGTTTTGCAGAAAATAGAACAAAGGCAACGAAACTGCCATGATAACACGTCTCCTACCCAGTTCTGACAGTGGCATGCCATGTTCTCAAGTTGGAGTAGAAGAGGATGACTGAAAGAGCTTGTAGATTGCTATCATCTTATTGTGTGCCTCAACAAAATGTTGAAATCTCCGTAGACAAGTGTGTGGAATCGTTTCAGCTACTTGATGTGTTCAAATTTATTTAGTGTTCTTTAGTTGAGGCTTCATGCTTGCTTCAATTAGAAGGTGGTTTACCTTCAGATGTATCCTCCTCAAATCAGTTCACATTTCTTATTTACATAATTATGTATTTCATCCATGAGTTTTGCTCTATTGCAAGATTATCTTCATTGTCTTTGAGGAAAACATCCGATTTGGTGATAAATTTTACATAAGCTATATTTGCAGGACATGGTCAGTCATTTGAGTACAAAGCTTGATTAATCACTGATTTTCTCCAATTCAGCATAATAAATTGCAGTTGACAGCAATGGTCGCAAGTTTTCTTCCCTGAGACCCAGCCGCATAGCTTCTGGTATGCCTGCTGCTCAGTTGCAAAGTTAAGCTACTGAGAGGATGCTGCAATTTCACATAATACAGCAATTTCCTGAAATTTGTAAAACTTTTGACATAACTGGTCTTTGAATTTTGGTTTTTCAGAGAATTAAGTTTTTTCATGTTTTCCAATTACTTTTAGAGAAAATAATGTTTGGCTGTATGTGCTAGTTTTTTGAGACTTCACCTTTGATTTTAGATCTTAGAAGAAAAAAACTGGTTTGATATTTAAAACTAAAATTTGTTTGAGAGAAACTAAACAGATCTTTTGTCTGTTTTTAAAAGAATTCTATCTTGATAATATAAGGGCTATTTAAGGGAATTGAATCCCTACATAATGTTTGAGATTCAACCCTGTCCGTCCTTGACTAGAAAAACACACCTTTGTTATAGCGGAGTATGTGAAAGAGTTAATTAAATAAGGCGCTATAAGAGCAAACAGCATATATATTCGGCCACCGACTGCCAGATTAAAGAGCAAAATAGCTGTCGTTCCAGCGGGTACCCCATGTGCTGCCTCTCGACTACTACTTATTGAACACACACACATACATATACACACATTGCCCGGTCCCACTATGACCGCCGACACCTTCTTCAACTTTCTGTCTTCTCTCCCGTTTTTAACTCATGCCTTACTTCTTTGACTTCTATCTATATATATATAAGTAGGAACGCTTAGATGATACGGCTATTGTTTTTTTGTGTTACAAGTTGGAAAACTTGATGATAGGCCTATGGTGCATTAATTTCAGTAGCTAGCTAGTAGGTTTCTAAGGAAATACGTACTCATATAATTAATTACTCCCTCATCTTGTTGGTTTCAAATCGATCAAAATAGGACCCTCGCAGTTATTGTTTGAGAATCAACACGTTTAAACAAAAAACTATACTACTGCATTTGCCACAAACTTTTGATTAGAAACATATATGCAAATGCTGAATCCAATCGGACGGTGACTTTTTGGCCAACAAAATTTACATTTATACATTAATCAAACGGAGAAAGTACATAATATGACATAAAGCACAAGAATGGTATCGGAAAAGAATTACAAGGACAACGAAGAGGGGAAAAAAAAAACAAAAATTAATACAACGGCATGCTCAAGGCTGGGATTGGTTTCTCTTCCACTCTACTAGCATTGTGTGCCTGTGCAGCTGCTCATTCGACTATACGATGAAGATGAAGATGAATGCGATGCCTCCAGGAGCTTGGACCGCTATGAATTAATTCACTTTCTGCTAATTTATACATTTATACGTACTCACCGCAAATTATACTTAACATGGATATATAGAGTAGTACTATGAAGCACATTTACTGTGGCTGCCTACATAATGAGACGTACATTTTAACTCCCCGATGGATCTATTATTTGGCAACCACTAGAATCTATCTAACAACTTGGAATCAATCAATGAATGAACCGACATCACAAAAAGAGCTTATAGATCTTCCAAAAGAAAAAGAAATGGTAATTTAATTTGACGCACGCATATATATTGAATATATATATGATCAGTTTGTCATTGCCTTGCCGTCATCGAAGTTCTTGGAGTAGTTGAAGGAGTCATAGCGGAAGGTTTGAGGTAGACCGACGTTGTTGTCGGAGCGGACGAACCTCCGCAGCTCCGACCTTACTTTGTAAAACACGTGCCTCAAGCTGCCCCTGCTGTGGCATCCCAATACGGCTTTCTCCTCTTCGTTCATTTCCAGATCCTGGGCGAACGTGGGCTTCTTAGACATGATCCAGCCCAATCCCCACTCCCACCATTTCCTTATCGAACTGCCAGCGTATTCTCCCATGCCGGCCGATAAAGAGGACAAGGATTTGGATCGGCGAAATGCCCACGAGGAGGAAGAGGAGTTAGAGGTGGAGTAGAATGAGAGGATAGGTTGTTGACAAGCAGACCTCGCGCGCATGTTCATCCTTAGGGAGAGAGAAGACAGCCTTTTGCGGACGCCAAGTCCTCCTGCTGCTGTTTCTTCTGCAGGTTGCGACATCGGCAGAGCTTCCTTGCTCTGAAAACTTTGAAGAAGAGAGCTCATGGTTTATGATTAAGTGATGAAGAGGGAAATTAATGTAGTTCAGATGGGGCTTTCCTTTCGGAGAGAAATGATATGAAACCCCCCAACTAAAAACTACTCAGCATTTTATTTTTAGGAGTAATAAACAAGGTGAGTGGTGACAAGTAGTGGTCATCACTCACCACCGTCACCCGCACATTCCTACGTTTTCCCTTCACATTAATTGACAGCCTGTTATATTCTCCTTTTCCATCATTTATTTATTTATTTATTTATGTATGAGACTCTTTTGCCCCTCAACTTCCCATTTGTGACCAACGGCCAGCACTACTACAGGTTGTACACATTCAATCTATAATGCATATGAAAATCCAAAGCTGTGTCCTTGGAGTTGCTTTTACCTTTTTACCACGATAATTTTAAGGTAACCCCACTAACTTTTTCCTCATTTCACCTATTTATGTCAAACAGTAAGGAAGAAAGCTTATTATCTGCCAGTAAGTGGAGGCAGTCATTTGGCGTTCTCAAGTGTCATCCTTTACTGCGGTTTAGCGCTGGGGTGAACCGCATCGATACGGGAACCCCCAACAACTTTGTCTCGTCAAAAGCGTATTGAAGGTGCCATGGATTAAGAATTTCCAGCGCAACGACAGCCTTAACTCCTTGTGCAGTGAAAGTTACAAACTCGCGAGGAGAGATGAGGGTGTTTCACATTTGTCTTGTCAGTCAATGCACTTGTATGCAACATGTACTAAAAAAGAGCCATTATGGTACATATATAAAATAAACATGACTCCGGAATAGAACAGCTAACCATTAGAATTCAGAATGGCTTCACCGAACCAATCGACTACCAAGCTATTTTCCTTTTAGATATCTCTCCTGCTGTTATTGCCTCAGATTGACAGTAATTTACAGTTTTAGCAATTTAAACCAAACAGCCATCCTGAATGCTTATCCAACTGCCAACAACATATCTTGTAGCTTTACCACTTATCACTACGCGCTGGAACAAATACTAGGTCAGAGCAGATCAAGTTGCAGCTGGCATACCCTGCACTCACATGTTTACAACAGCAATAGACAAAAAGGCTTCATAGACAACTAACCATCTTAAACTGGTTTTTGCAGTATTTTACAAGTGATGTCGACAAAAGTGTCTTGCAATAATTTTAGTTTATTGCCTTAATCTTGCAAGTGATATCTAGTAAATTATTTTACAAGAATCTTTTGTTTGTTGAGCGTGCCCAATTGTAGGATATAAGTAGTCAATAACTACATCTATTCCATGATTTCGTTATATTTGAACACACAATCATAAAGCCTTCCTCCAAGAAACTCAGCAACCTCTGGGTGCTTCACCTAAAAACACCAGAGGAAGAAAAAAAAAAGGCCCGGCGTGCATCAATATTCTAAACATCAAGTGAAATAATCCCCTTCTCCCAGATTTTAGTGATAAGGCTCCTTAAAAGGGAGCTTTTTCTCTTCTTTTTGTCCTTCCTTGGTTCCCTATAGAAGCCAGAAGGTGAAGAGGGTGGGGTTGGGTTGGGTTGGGGTGGGGTGGGGTGGGGTGGGGTGGGGGGGTTTGGCTTGCGCATCTAGTAAATAAACCATTACCATTCCAATCTTGAGGGAATCACATTTGAATTGAGCATATAGGTTTGTCTCTATACCACGACCCTGGCAAAAGAAATCAATATCATAGTTAAAAAACGAGAGATATTTTATGGTAATTACAATTTCCTTAAAAGACAAGTCGAAGAATATTGCCAAATGCCAAAAAAATGTTCACTTTGTTTCGATATTGTCAAATGCCCATATGAAGAAACTTGGAAGAAAGTCATAATAATTTACAAGTTCCAAGCTACAAGGTACCTGAGGAAGAACTACCACCTCAGTCTTAATTTATGTGAAACGGTCTGGTTGTTAAGTCAAATCAGTTAATATCCAGGAATAATTTATCGTTTTGAAACCTGAAAATACAGGAAATCTATACACATAAACAAATACTGCTCCAATCAGAGATAAAAGTCCAAGATCAATAAAAATCATGGATGAAATAATGAAATTTGACCTTAAAAGACAAATTGTGCCACCAAAAATGATAGAGGAATCAGAAGCTAATGTGTCATGGACCTAAAAATGATGGTACTAACATTTTGCATACATATTTAATCCAGTAACGAATTATTTCAAATTAGGAAGGTACTCAGGGTATGTCAAGTGAAACCCTATTGCACTTGCCTAGAGAAAGGATAGTTTCACCTGAAAACATATGCATTCACTGAATCATGATACAGAATGCTTGATTTGGAACAAGAGGAAAATATTAAAAAGTAAAAGAAAAACTGTGTTTTTGAAGTATACAAAGAGAGGTCACACGTGGAAAATCAGATAGAAGAGACCCTTTATGAGTCTATTAGAGGTTGACGGGGGCAAGAGACGCTTGCATAGCACCAGGGGTAAGAGATATGTTCCCACCTGCATAGGCATCATTGCCAGTCCTATGCTTTTAATACTGCATCTCAAGAAAATAGCCACTTACAACCAATATTACTGATGTGTTGTGGTAAGAAGCAAAATTTGTGGTTCCAGAGACAAAGAATTGACAGCAAAAGGCTCACCATGCCTTCCAGAATGACAAGGTCAGCATCGCTTGCCAAGTAGGCAAGCTCTGGTGATACTCCCATAAGATCAATAACCTGTGGTTACAGTAAAGTAGGCCTGTCAATTAAGTTGGAGCAGCTAGATATATTCAAAAATTCTGGAGATAGTACCATTTTTGGCAATTTAGTGACTTTACTTTTATTGTGTTAACTTCTGATACATCGAATTTTGGTTTTGGGGGGATTAAATGCTAGCGTCAGACTTCAATTTATAAGAATTTGTGAAAATGGTAGCTGCTCCAATTAGCTCGAGCCAAGCATTAGCAAGCTAGGAAGTAGAATTCTTGTGTGAGCCATGCTTGACTTTCGTCAGAAACCTCAATTGAGAGGGGCACATCTAAAGTTCAGAAATAAATCACAGGATTCCACCCCTTTTTTCCGAGTGGGTGCTGATGGGTGGGGGAGCAGAGAATCATGCAAATAAAGCAGATAAGTGACTGCCCCTTACCGGTAAATCATTACCAGAATTTGCAACTAAAAGATTGGACGTGTCCACACCTACGAGCTTCCCGTGCTCATCTTTCAACTGTTAATAAGCAAATATACATGTTAATTTAACCTAAAGAGGAATCGAAAGCACCAAAAGTCAAAACATAACCCTTCTACCACCTTAGATATTATCTCTACCAACTCACGGTAAGTAACATCGTTGATAGAAGGTAAGTCATTAGCTGCCAAAATAATCTGCAAAGACAAAAAAATCTGTCATTTACTAGGAGGGCTTAATTGAGTTGTCAGCACTCAACAACGGCCAAACTCTAATCCAATCTGATGCACTTCATACAATTAGCAAGTCTATGAATATGAAAATTGTTAACTTATGATGAGGCTTCATTCCTATGTAAAATCTGGTCTATTAAGTTATTTTTGAACTTAAACTATACGGCATTAGCCTCAGAGTTTGGGTCCTATAACTTCTTAGCTTTCATTGGATTGTGGAAATAGAAATAAGATAATAATGATGACCTCTACAGTAAAGAAGGTGCCAGATTAGAGGTCTTTTTTCTTTGTAAGCTTTTGGAATACGAAATATCTATGATATTCTTGTTAGTATAGATGATTGGGTACTCTACTACTCTTCACAATTAATCGGATTTTTGCATAGATTTAAGATATACCATTTGCATAAGAGGCACTCCCCAACTTTATCAATACACCCAATGCAATTATTACCTTACTGAGGAGAAAAAAGCGCCACAACTATGATTCAGGCACAAGAGCAGCACAAAACACCTTTTCACATGCAATGTTGTACTGGAAAATAAACCAACAATAACAACACACCCAGTATAGTCCCACAAGTGGGTCTGGGGAGGGTAGTGAGTACGCAGCCTTACGGACCTTTGTGCTAGTAGAAAGGTTGTTTCTTATAGACCGTGACTTAAAGCTAGAATGCATAAACACAACAGAATAGAGGGAGACATGCAGTAATATAGAAGTCATAGAAGAGAAGCAGTAGCAATGACAAGATAATAGTGAAACCGAATCATAAACAACATCAAGTAGTAATAAAAATCTAAGAATATGGAAATACGAGAATAACACTACCAATACAGGTATGAGGGGAAAGACTTTCGACTTCCCGCTAACTTTCTACCCTAATTCTCGACCTCCACACTGTCATAAACCCGAATTCACAACACAAAGTAAACGAGGGAAATGATAGGTTTAATTTATAAACCCAAAGAGCCAATCATTACAATAACATAAACTAGAACTAAGATGGAGATTCAGAGAAGAAGGATAGAAAGAGCAGAGGGAGAACAGAAAAAGATAGTCTAGAGGAAGAAGCGGAGACGAGAGGGGAACAGAGTTCTCAATCATACGCATAACCTCCAACTCACAGCCACTACCCTTTTTAAGGGAACCGTCCTACGCATACAAACTACTACTCAACCTGGATCCCAAATTAACCTGGGTCTATTGCTTTTTCTTGGCCCAATAGCTAGTGTCAGCCAATAGCTACTTGTGTGACATTGGGTCGAGGCTGATTCATAACACACACCCTACTATCAAGGATCATGTCCTCGGTAAGCTGAAGATGTGTCAAGTCCTGCCTAATCACCTCTCCCCAATACTTATTCGGTCTACCTCTATCTCTCCTCATACCCACTATTGTCACTCTCTCACACCTCCTCACTGCATCGGGCGTCCCTCTTCACATGTCCGAACCATCTCAGCCTTGCTTCTCGCATCTTGTCCACCACACCACGGAGGTCACGCCTACCTTGTCCCGAATATCGTCATTCCTACCCATATCTCTCCTAGTATGCTGACACATCCATCTCAACATCCTCATTTCCGCTACCCTCTGGACATGAGAGTTTTTGACTAGCCAACCCTCCGCCTCATACAATATAGTAGGTCTAGCCACCACTTTATAGAGCTTACCTTTGAGTCTTGGTGGAACGTTCTTATCACACAAGACACCGGTTGTTAGCCTTAATTTCATCTATCCAGCTCCAATATGATGTGCAACATCATCATCAATCTCCCCATTACCTTGGATTACTACCCCAAGGTACGTGAAACTTCCTCTCTTGAGGATGACTTGTGAATCCAGCTTATTAGCCTCCTGAGTTATGTCACTAAACTTGCACTCCAAGTATTCTGTTTTAGTCTTACTAAACCTGAAACCTTTAAATTTCAGAGTCTGTCTCCAAACCTCCAGCCTCGTGTCTCGTCAATCAGTACTATGTCATCTGCAAATAACATGCACCATGGTACTTCCCCTTCAATGTGACGCGTCAATACATCCATCGCCAAGACAAACAAAAACGGACTAAGAGTTGATCCCTGGTGTAACCCCATCACAACTGGAAAGTGTCTTGAGACTCTTCCCACTGTCCTTACTCGAGTCTTAACTCCGTCATATATGTCCTTAATCGCCCTAGTGTATGTTACGGGTACGCCTTTAACCTATGCAAAATCCTTCTTCCTCTCCCTATACTGATCCACCAATCTCCTCACAAGATGAATGGCTTTTGTGATCGATCGACCCGGCATGAATCCGAATTGGTTCTCGAAAATAGACACACTCCTCCTCACCCTCATCTCCACAACCCTCTCCCCACACTTTCATAGTGTAGCTTAGCACTCGATGCCCCTATAGTTTTTGCAATTTTGAATATCCCCCGTGTTCTTCAGGAAAATAAACCATATCCATTTAACTGAATGCAGCTAAGAGAGCATTAAAAGAGGATAAATTTCACTCTCATAAGATACAGAACCGAGCATGTTAAAATATTTGCTGATGTTAACTATAATCAATATTTACATAAGGGAGAATGTTTTGTGTGTCAATAAAGTAACATTTTAAATTTTGCAATGTACTCAAAGAAGATTCGGTAACCTATTTTTTCTATTTCAGTTAACACTCGAGAAAATTTCCATCTTGATGTGCAAGAAAAAAACTAGGGTCTCAAAATAACCTGTGTCCCATGACGAAGTAATTCTCTTGTAAATGGCAGAATACCCAGAATAATATCTGCACCAGAATTATCCACAAAGATTACAGCCTGTATAAGAGTAACCAAGCCGGTGAACCGGCGTACATCAAATGCATGGGATGCTTGTCATAAACAAGTAAAAACTTAAAAGCCCAGTGGAGAAGATAAGTGACACATGATTAACTACTAACCTTTTTCCATGATTTTCTGCTCCATTTTGTTATGAAAGTATCCAAGTCATCAATGACCCAAGGTCGAGGGACAAGGTTTTCGCAACTAGCTAGAAAAGAAATACCATCCCTTGAAAACAGCTCCGCGAGCTTCAACAAATAGTCAATAAGAATTATTCATGCAACCTTGAAAATATTTTAAAATTCTAGTCGTAAATTAAGCAAGATTTAGGATATTAAAAATTTACTTTGGAAGGATTTTAGCATGTGGAAGAGTCGGATAAAATTTTATTAACTCATGAAGTCAAATTCGTTGGAAACTTAGATTATGTATTTTGTGTGCATCAATTTCTACTTTCTAGAAGTTCATTTTGAAGGATCCATTAGAAGTTACTTATGCAATTTGATATATATACATCAGGGCAAATAAGAGCACCTCTCCAAAATTGAAATTAAAGAGCACAAAATTTTACCTCTTGACATTTTAGGAGCAAAAACCATGGGGAGTAAGAGGTTAATCATTATCATTGGGTTTGAGAATGTGAAAGTCGGGGTGGTGTGGTTGAAAGAGACAAAATAGAGATCTCATGAACGTTGTAACACAAATATAGGGTTGACAACATGGGAAATGAGAACTCCCTTAGTGTAAGGGTCTTATGAATTTTTAAATGTACCCAATGACGATGCATGTGTTATAACAAAAACAAATTTAGTTCTTAATAAACAGCACTTTTAAAGAACTCTAGCCACATAATTTTTGTTTAGTAATGGTATACAAGAACTCTTGGCACATAGCCAAAGGCACAAATGTTATATGCATACATTTCTTTATCCAGGAGTCATTCATGAAAGGGCATGGCCTACCTCGGCGGGGTCATGGCAAGTCAGAGGTACAAATATTAAATGCAAACATTTCTTCATCCATGGGATATCCATGAAAAAGCATTACCTACCTGTGCAGAGCCAAGATCAAATAAGTTTCCTGCAAAAATCCCTTTAACCAAATTCTCCACACGCTTAGCTTCATCCTCGATAGCATCATTTAGATGTACTACATCCTCAAATAAGGATATAGCCTTTGCATTTTCTTCATCCTAGTGGATTTACATATGCACAAGAATGAAAACAGTCAAAATCTTCTACAAATTTTTGCTCAGGTGGGATAAGGGTAAAAAACAAAAAAATGCTTTCAAATGAGCTATGACCTTTATTTGATAATTCTCTAAGGAGAATTGAGACTGTTTATTTGAACCATAAGGCATGCTCACATCAACTTGAGGAATGAAATAAGTGGAGAAATCACCCACCTTAACCTTTTTAAATATATCTCTGAATCCCAGTTCCCTAAGCACTTGCTCCCTAAGGCGACAAAGAAGCTAAAACAGAGTGTAAAGAAGGAGACAGGTTAGCAAAAATGTAAGCAGGAAAGGATCGATGCTTTTATATAATAGATGGTTAGACTTACAATGCCATCAGGCGGCCCTCCGTGACTTTCAGGATCTTTCTTTAAATCTTCTAGTATCTCAGCGTACCTATCCAAAACCTTAATTTTCATTTTTGTGGCATATATATTAAATACACAGACAGCTTGCTTAAGGTTGTGGGTGAAACGAAGGTTATGCTTGGATGAAAAGGAGATGAACAGAGGCGGATGCACGCTTACCAAAGATGTGTCACGCGACACCGCTTTGTCGGAAAATTTTACTAAATATATGTACTAATACTGTACGGAAATGGATAAGTAGGAAAAAATGACACCACTTATAAATTGTGTCTTGGTTATGTACTTGATTTTGCTCTAGGTGGTCAAAGGCTCAAACCTCAACTAGCACATTTTTCTTTTGCAAATATTTGAGAGAGCCTTTGTGGTTAAAAATTGTGATGAAGTGGAATTGAACTCAAGACATTTTCTAACTTAATACTCAACAAAACCAATAAACTAAGGCTATTTCTTGTCTAGAAGTATTGATAATCAAACTTATATTCCAGTTTTTCTATAAATTTCGATACTGCTTACAAAAATTCACCTGGATAGGTTGGAGAGGGATTGGGTGATGGTTAATTTCCTTATCGAATAGAGTAACAGAGGTTACCTGTGAGAAAACTTTTCGGCTCGGGAAGGAGCATCAGGAACAGTATCACCGCTTTCGGCCCTCTTCCTGAATTTAATTAAAACAAAAAATAAAAAGGATCAAAAAGAGAGAGATAATAGGGGTATGAAATAGAGAATAAGAAACGAGCACCTAAAAGAAGGGATGGAATTCATGAAGACTTGGATCCAGGAAAGCTCAGTGGGCGTGGGTTTAGTGGAATTGTCGGAAGGGAACCTGTACGGGATGGTACCTGCCCGGTAATTCGAGGTCATCACCAACGGAAAAGGCACCAATTCCCCGGAGCTCTCCATTCTCTGCTACTGCTCCCTTTACTAGAAATAACTTTTTTTTTAAATTTTGGGTTGAGAACGGTGTTCGACTACCATTTTGGTTTCTGACCTGCATTAAATCAAATACATGATAATATTGCTCCATTTTGCTGTATTTTTCACTATCCTATTTCAAGTTTGTTTTAAGCATAAGAAATTTTTTAGATAGATAAAATGCATTACCTTTTTATATGAGAAAATTTTTAATCATTTTCACATATTTTTTTGTACCTCATTTTTATTTAAGATTGCTCTATAGTTGATATAAGTAAAAGTTGGATTAACTTCGAGGAAACATATATTTATATGATTTTTATGCTTTCTTTGCTATAAATAAAATTAGTATTAGTACCCGCACGATGTGCGGATAATATCATGATCCTGCTATATTCTATAAATTAAAAAGAATAAACTATATGAATAACTATTGGCATAAACTTAAATATTATAACCCCATATATAGTCGGTGATACAAACAAATAAAAATACAATATGATTTAAAAATAAATACTCATTTCCTTTTAATTTACATAAAGTATTTTTCTTATTAGTCTATTTCAAAAGAATGACACATTTAACTTTCGATTTTTTATTTTACCCGTAATGAGAAGCTCTTAGACGCATACAACTATCACGACCCTACAAAGCTTTTAGGATCACAAGTTTTAAAAGTTTTTTTTTTCGTTCTTAAACTTCGTGCTAAGTCAAATAACAACAACAACCCAATGAGATCCCACAAGTGGGGTCTAGGGAGGGTAGTGTGTATGCAGACCTTACCCCTACTCCGGAGGAGTAGAGAGACTATTTCCGATAGACCCTCGGCACAAGAAGAAGGAAGAGACAGTGTATCAGTAACAGCTAAATTCAAACTATCTCATCAAAATTGAAACTGAGTGAAATAATACTAAATAGAGTAATAACTAATAAAAATATATTTAGTAATATCGTAATTTAAATTATAAAAATATATTATATTATTATCTCAACATAATAATTTCTCACATCAACATCAACTTCTACCAACCTAAAATTTCACAATGACAAATTAATAAATACACACATGATGATTTATTGACAACCAATATATTCTAACTTTTGGGAGTTACCGATATATAAAACAGTTGGATCGTAATTTGCTCAACAATTTTAATATCACCTCAATTTTAACCACACAATTAAAGCCACTTTATTTTTAACAATTTAAATGATACTTTTAGGATATAATTAACATTAGTATATTATAATTAAATAAATATTAAAATACTTTAAATATATCATGCACATGTGCTAAAAGAAGATGAGTTCTTACAGGTAATTCTTAAAATGAATTTTACCTTATGATTTTTGTAATTGTAAATAGTAATCCCAAATAGTGCAATTATATTCCTGTATATGCTTACCCTATCTAAATCTATTTTATTCTAATTGACACATATATACTGATCCCATCGGTTGCTCAATCAATTGGCTCATACACTTTGAGAGACATAAATATCAAGAATGAGCTAAAAAGTCATAGTCCATACCGAGCCATTAGAGAAGAATCTATCCTCCCTTCTTATCTAATTTAGCACGGCGACTGCTAGCGCTAATAGAAAAATAAAATATAAAAAGTGTATGTATTACTTCCACACAATTAAGATATAAAATAAATTATAAAATATTGGATAATTAATTTTACCGTAAGGCAACATAGTTGAGATTTAGTTCAGCCGATGTCTGAGTTGCTTCATAGTTTAAAACATTATCCCCACAAAAATGTGTGTCATCAGTTCCTCTATTCTTGTGTAAAATAATGATGGATTAACTCCCTTCCAACATTATTGGAGTTGCTTTAAAATTGATCGAATCGTACTGCATTTATGTGATAATTCTCTTTTTGAGAGTCATTTTAAAAGTATTCGACTCCAAACTACATACATCACACATCTTGATTCTTAAAACTAAAATGCTAATTGAGCAAGAGATATAAATTTATTTTTAAATTAATTCAAAATATCAATTTACTCACATTATCTTTATACCCCCTCTTTCTATATTATTCCCTCTACTATAAAAATTTATATAATTATTTCATTTATATGGAAGTTTGACATTAAATTTTGATTAAAATTAATATAAGAATTTAAATACCATTGACTTCCGCCTCTTCACATAACACAAAACAATGAGTTAACAACACTTCTGGTTGATACAACTTAGTCCATAGGGCTTCCTCTTCAATAGCTCCATCTCTCAATGTTTACACTTAGCTCTGAAAAACTGGGTTTTTGTAGTATACAGAGAGAGGGTCACATGTGGAAAATCAGATAGAAGAGACCCTTTATGAGTCTATTAGAGGTTGATGGAGGCAAGAGACGCTTGCATATATAGCAGCAGGGGTAAGAGAAATGTTCCCACCTGCATAGGCATCATTGCAAGTCCTATGCTTTTAAATACTGCATCTCAAGAAAATAGCCACTTACAATCAATATTACTGATAGTATTGTCGTAAGAAGCAAAATTTGTGGCTCGAGAGACACAATTGACAGCAAAAGGCTCATCATGCCTTCCAGAATGACAAGGTCAGCATCACTTGCCAAGTAGGCAAGCTCTGGTGATACTCCCATTAGATCAATAACCTGTGGTTACAGTAAAGTAGGCCTGTCAATTAAGTTGGAGCAGCTAGATATATTCAAAAATTCTGGAGATAGTACCATTTTTGGCAATTTAGTGACTTTACGTTTATTGTGTTAACTTCTGATGCATCGAATTTTGGTTTTGGGGGGATTAAATGCTAGAGTCAGACTTCAATTTATAAGAATTTGTGAAAATGGTAGCTGCTCCAATTAGCTCGAGCCAAGCATTAGCAAGCTAGGAATTAAGTAGAATTCTTGTGTGAGCCATGCTGGACTCTCGTCAGGAACCACAACTGAGAGGGGCACATCTAAAGTTTAGAAATAAATCACATGATTCCACCCCTTTTTTCCGAGTGGGGGAAGAGAGAATCATGCAAATGAAGCAGATAAGTTACTGCCCCTTGTTTGACTCAAAAGATATTGAAACCTTTTTGAACAAATCAATCAAAGATGAAGGAGTAAATCTTAGTCAAACTTAATTGATCCTAGATCGAAAGATTTAATAATAATGATTGCATATGGGACGGATGAACTATCAATAATCTTATTAAGATTATACACTGCCTTCTTCATCGATGGATGAGGAAGGAGGATTACAATTGTTTTTTTTCCTCTTAGAATACAAGAATGGAGCTTTGTTCTTATTTTTCTTCTGTGGGAAAGATGGAGATGCCCCCCCCCCCCCCCCCGTTTGAGAGCCTTCCTGGGCTATATATGTAGTCAAACCATCTTGATCCTTATCATGACTTGGCGCGCTTGGGTCAGCGGTGCGTTCTGGTCGTGACTAGACATTGCTCTTTTTGATGTGTCGGATATCTTGGAGGAGGAATGAAGTGGACTCTATTGACTTCTACTACTCGATTCCTAAAAAGGGGTCATGGGCAACCTGGTCGTGGCGGTCAGATTTTGACCAATACAGTTAGTCCCTCCGTCCGCCGGGGTCGTCCTTTGTCTGGCTCGACGGACGGATCATGTTGGCAGCGTAGTCGAGAGGAATCTAACCCCCAATTTTCCGCTCCTTAGTCGCGTTCTGTGGATTTTTTGGCGGAGTGGAGGTGTTCTTTCGGTACTCGTGGACCGTTGCAATGGTTTTGGAATCGAAACGCCGGTTGGCAAATGAAGCGTCGGTTTGTGCTTGCCACCATTATGACACATTCCTGGGAAACTGAAAAACGTTTCGTGCCCTATCAGATTCAAATGGCGACTCTTGGGTTTCGTGCTCGGGGAATTTATGTCTCTTATAAATAGGTGAACCTGTCATTTGATTGATACACTTCAACATTCGTTTGAGAAAGTTCTTAAGATATCGCTTTATCTGATACCTCGAATTCTCGCTTTCCTTCTTGCTCACTGAAACCTTTCATTCTTTCTTTGTGTTACTTCTTTTTGGAGAGTTTTCTGCTAAAAATGGCCGGTGATTCTTCTTGCGATGATCTCCCTACCGCTAATCCGGTACCAGAGAGTTCTGTTCAGATCCCCGGAGAAGTGGATGCGGTGGAGGATGAGGAGGTTCCCTCGGTAGATGAGATTCTGCCTCGCCTCGGGAGGGACGCGACTGACTTCAGTTTCGGTGGTGGAGCGGAGCCGGAACCTGTTGCTTCCGTTGTGAGAAAAGGGGAATTGTAGATTTGAGGGAACAGTGGGGAATTCCCAATTTCGTCGAGATGCTACCGGCGGAGGGGGACGACAGAGTTCACTTCGACTGCCCCAGATATTGTGTGTTCTACGCCTACCCCTTCATTGTAGGGTACACACTTCCTCTTCCCATGTTGGTGGTAGATTTCTGCCGTTACTACGAGGTGTGCCCTGCTCAGCTTTCGTCTTACTTGTACAGGTTGTTTCTTATGCTGCTCAATTATGCAGAATTTGCCAGTCTTGAGGTTACTTTGGGCCATATGCTTATCATTTTTGCTCCACAACTGATTCGCGGTACGATGATTCACGTGCGTCCTGGGGGGGTCGAGGGGTCTGGTGGTGAAGATGGACGACAGAACCAAGCGTCGTTTCTATAAAAATTATTTTTATGTGCAGACCGAGCATATTGCAGCGGATCCGACGGGATTCCCCGAGAGATGGAACTTTGCCCGTAAGTTTGCGTCTTTAATTAATGAAATGTTTGACCATTTTTCGCGGATGCTAAACTGCTCTATTTTCCTGCAGCTGAGAGATTGCCCCCGCCGCCTATCGAAGAGATTCGTGAATGGTGGAGGCCATTCTTCCCCACAAAGTGGGAGTTCGCACCTGGTCGACTTTTCACAAGAGGTTTGGACGCAAGCCTCTTACAGGTGAGATGACATCTTTATCTACTGTTTCTCTTCTCTTTTTTTGTTTAGCCTCTCATGCATCGTTCGTCGTTGTCAGGGAGGGTGCGGGGAGCAAGGGCCCCTCAGCTAGCCTTTCGCCAGCCGACCGCATCCGCTCGTCTCGTTGCTATTCCCACTATACGGCCTTCGTTGAGGGCTGCTTCGGTTGAATC